GATGAAGATTAGTAGGAGATATATTTCCTACATTAGATTATTAATTGGAGTAGAATAAGGTTTCCTAAATTAGGAATTAATTATATTCCATAATTCCCTAAGGATGGGAATATTCCTTCTAGAATATTACCTAGGGTTAGGAGACTATGGAGTCTTCTAGAAGGTAATTAATTATTAGGAATATTATCCTAGATGGGAAAAGGAGATGGAAGATAATAAGGATTCCTAAACCTAAAGGAATAAGCCCATATTTAGCACCTCCTTTAGGTCCCTATTGTAGCCTATAAATACACTAGGTCCCCTAACCTCTTGGACAAGCTTTACACGTTTTTTCTCCCCGAAGGGCTGGAGAAATTCGGCTCTTCAAGCGAGAAAGAAAGAGAGAGATTCTTCTTCGAAAGAAAAATCGGTTAGCACCGTAAGGTCTTAGAAGAAGATGATCAAGAGGTTTTGGGAAATCTAATAAATCGCTCCACCAAGATTTATTAGAGATCGTGTAAAGGTCATACAATAGAAGATTCGAAGGTTGTTGATTCGTATTCCGTTCGATATATTTCCAGTTTTCGCGGTCAGGTTCTTCATCCATAGTCTGCGTTAAATTGACGCAACACAGTCTGTAGCGCGACGGTGAGCAGCGCGGTCTTTCCGGGCGGAGGTCGCAGGTTCGATCCTTCTCCTTGTAGAAATAGGAGATTTCTTTTTGGCTCCAGGCACGCGGGCTTTCTGGCCCGCAACAGCCCGCGCGCGGCCCGATCATCCTCTCAGTTGGCAGCCCGCGTCCCAGCCTGCGCCAGGCCCATGCTCATCTCAGATCCCAGCCCGCGAGCGGCCCGACCAAGCCCGCGAGCAGCCCAGCGTCGTCTGGCCCATTGTACGCAGCCCAGCGCGTAGTGCGCGGCCCAGTTCGTGATTCTTCAGCCCAGCGCGTGTTCAAAGGTAACTGGCGGCCCAGCAATCATTCCAGCGCACGTCTCATGGGCCAGATGGTGTCCAACACGACCAGCTTGAGCCCAACGCGCACCAGACCGGTCCAGGCGGTGCATATCAGCTCCAGATCGGCCCAGCAGCGTGGCAGAATGGTTCAACCCAGTTCAAGTGGATCCAGAAGCCCCAGTTCGAGTCCAAGATGGTTCCCGAGCAGTTCGATTCACTTACCGAAGGTCCGAGACGATCCGATGAACTTGATGAGCGATTGGAGCACCATGGTGACTCGATTAGAATCGAGAAAGGCCAAGTCTAGCCGCCCACTAGACTTTGGTGTTCAGACGATCTCCATCAACGGAAATCAGAAACGTCTCAAAGTCGGCAAAAAAATTTTAAACCGTAAGTCCTAATCCTAACTATAGATTCCGCTGCGTTAGGATTTATTATTCAATAGATTTGAATGTGCACATTGTCGACGTTCCTAATAGAACCCAACAGCTCGTCAGTCAGCTGGCGGCGCACGGCGTCACTATCACCGACGAGGATGCTGTCGTGAAATGCTTGCGCGTCGTGCGGCGTAAGTATGCCCTGATCGCGCTCTCCATCGAGACGTTGATCGACATGTCCTCCCTCATGATTTAGGATATGACTGGACGCTTGCGGGCAGTGGATGACCGCGTGGATACTATTAACCGAGGAAGAATGGGCAGCTCGTATGCGCGAGCGGCGACCCGGGAAAGGCTCCTCCAACCGTGGCGTCTACGACAAGCGCCGTGGCAAGGCCTCGCAGAAGAAGAAGGACGGCAACAACGCACGTCCAATCGATAAGGACACTTGTCAACGCTGCAGGATGACAGGGCACTGGGCTCGAGATTACAAGAATCCCAAGAAGGAGAAGAGGGAGGCGCACCTCGCGCAGGTGGTCGACGAGGAGCCAGCTCTTCTCATGGCAACGACCTGCACATTGCACGACGTCGAGCCAGAGTTGGAGGAAGTCAAGGCGGCAACTACAGAGCAGGGGAAGGCAATGCAGGTTGCTCACCTCGACGAGTCGAGTGCCCAAGTCCACCTTGGACAAATGGGCGGTGGCATGGAGCAGAGGTGGTATCTGGACTCCGGCGCCAACAACCACATGACCGGCTCCAAGAAGGCCTTCTCCAAGCTTGATGACGGCGTGACGGGGACGGTGAAGTTCGGCGATGGCTCGAAGGTGGAGATTCGAGGTCGCGGCACCGTCATCTTCCGGTGTCAGAACGGCATGTACCGCGCATTGACGGATGTGTACTATATCCCGTAGTTGCGTTCAAGCATCATCAGCATCGGGCAACTGGACGAGCACGGCTGCGAGGTGCTTGTCCAAGGCGGTGTGCTAAAGCTCAGGGACCAGAAACAGCGGTTGCTGGCTAAAGTCCAGCATTCCCGGAACCGCCTCTACCTCCTCGACTTGAAAGTGGAGCAGCCGGTGTGTTTGGCGGTACGACACACTGAGGACCCATGGCTATGGCATGCTCGGTTGCCATTTGAGCTTCGACGCACTCGGTTGTATGAGGAAGATGGTGCACGGGCTCCTGCACATTGAGCACGCAGGCGAGCTGTGCGACAGCTGCCTGGCAGGGAAGCAGAGGCAGCTGCCTTTCCCAAAGGCGGCCAAGTATCGTGCGGCGGACGTCCTCGAACTCGTCCACGGTGACCTCTACGGGCCGATCACGCCAGCTACGCACGGCGGAAGATGCTACTTCGTGCTGTTCGTGGACGACTGTAGCTGTTTCATATGGTTGCATTTCCTAACGAGTAAGGATCAAACTGCAGAGGCGATCAAGCGGTTCCAGGCGCGGTCTGAGGTAGATTTCGGGAAGCGGCTGCGCATACTGAGAACGAATCACGATGGTGTGTTCACATCTGTGGAATTTGCCGCGTTCTGTGCAGGTCAGGGGGGTGGTTCACCATCATACTGTGCCGTACTCACCACAACAAAATGGCGTAGTGAAGAGGCAGAATCAGACTGTGGTGGGCATGGCTCGAAGCATGATGAAGGCAAAGGGCATGCCAGCGAAGTTTTGGGGAGAGGCTGTGAGCACGGCGGTGTTCATCCTCAACCGCGTGCCCACGAAGGCCCTAAAGGGCATGACACCATTCGAAGCTTGGCATGGCAGGCAGCCCGACGTCTCGTTTCTAAGGACGTTCGGGTGCATTGGCCATGTGAAGAAGACGAAGCCCTTCCTGTCCAAGCTTGAGGATAGGAGCACACCGATGGTGTTCCTAGGCTACGAGGAGGGGATCAAGGCCTATCGGCTCTACGATCCACGTGGAGGCAAGGTAGTGGTCTCGCGGGATGTGGTGTTTGACAAAATGACGGCCTGGGATTGGGAGAATCCTGGCACGGGGGAAGCCCGTGGCGTCAGCGGTACGTTTGTCATCGAGCATTTGGTGATCCACAGAGGAGGAGATGCGGGAGCAGAGGAGCCAGCTGCGGACGCGCCAAGTCCATCAACTGTGGTTGTGTCGGTTGAGTCACAAAGTCCGGCCATGGGCACGGGCGAAGAGTCTACACCAGCGGCTGCGTACACGCCCCCACCACAGTCCCCTACTGCGGCAGGACAGGGGACACCTCCAGTGACGACAGTTGAGTTTGCCTCTCTTCTAAGCGACATCGACATGTATGTGGATGCCTTCCACGACGGTGAGGAGATGAGGTTTCGCAGGATGGATAACCTCGTTGGCAACTCGGTTGTACCAGGCTTGGCAAGCCGATTACTCGACGATCAGGAGCTGCTCTTCGTCAGCGTAGAGGAGCCATTTACTTTCTCGCAGGCCGAGCGCGATGTCAGTTGGAGACGAGCTATGCTATAGGAGATGAAGGCGATCGAGGAAAATGAGACGTGGGAGCTCGTCGATCCACCTCTAGGCTGTCATCCAATCGGGCTCAAATGGGTCTACAAGGTCAAGCGGGACGAGTGTGGTGCCATAGTTGTTTGTCCCATTTTTGTTGCATTTTTCGTTGTCTCTTTGTCTTTCTTTTTCCCGCATATTGAGTCTTTTTGTTGGGTTATATTCGTTTTTGTAGTTTATTGCTTGATTTGATCTATTTCGGTTTTTCTTGTGTTTTCGTGTGTTTTTCCAGTTTTTTTCTTTGTTTATGGTGTGTAGGTCTGAAGTTTTGTGAGGACCTAATTATGGGCAAAAGCTTATTATGCAAGTATAATTAAATTGAGGAGTTCGTTGGCAACACACGGGAAAAAGCGGAATCGAATTCCGAGTCCAAACGAGCCCGAACGAGCCCAAACCGTGAAATCGTGCAAGGCTGCCGGGCCATAGCGCCGCTATGCCCAACCCAGCTAGCGGGGCTACCAGCGAAGCGCACCCATAGCGACGGCCAGACGCCCAAGCCCGCGACCCTTAGCGCTGCTATGGCCTTAGCGCCGCTAAGGCCTGGTCGCGGGCACAAAATTTTTTTTTTGGTCTCTCTCGTTTTTGCTCGGTTTTTCGAACCATATAAAGGAGAACTTGTCCGAGACTCGAGAGACATCTCGACCAGGTGTAAACCTAGGTCTGAGAACACGACTCTCTCCTTCTCTTCTTCTCTCTTCTTCTTCTTCTTCCTCAATTTTCTTCTTCTGTTCACCATTATTTTCCATTTTTCTTCTTCTTCTTCTTAGTTAGGGTTTAGCTTGTATTTCGAATTCGACTGGAACGTGGATTGATTGTATGTATTCACTTTTCTTATTTGATTCATGAATAATGATTATTTGAGAGGATTGATCATGATTGTTGAATTTGATATTCGTAGCTAAATCCCATTGCTAGGGATAGGGTATGATTGTTCTTGTTTAACGTGTAATTGTCGGGCTTCAATTTGTTCATGCTTTTGTGAGTTGAATTAATTAGGAATTGATGAGTTCTTGTTTGATAGATTGATATAATCGAAAAGTGACATTTCGATCTTGCTATTGGTGACAGTTGGATGTTAATTTATCGAGTTAGGGTTGGTCAATTCTATATGATTAGTTGATTAAACACCTTCTAATTGACTTAGCGGCTTTCAGAACCGAAAGGGAGAAGTCGTAGAAATAGGCTCACATGAGGTAGATGATTTCGTAATTGAATAGTCTATAGGTTTTAGATTGAAATACGTGCTTGTCGATGACCCGTCCCTTGTTACGAAAAGTTATTGGGACTGGGATAACTAGCCTGTATTGTATGCTTGAACTTGTCCGACCCGGGGAACGAATCTTTCGATTCGGTACTCGGTAAAAAGAATAATTTGTGCTACAAAAAATTTGGCGCCATTGCCGGGGAAGGCAAGTAGGATATTTGGTCTTGGTATTGATTTTATTTTCTGTGTTTCTCTTTATTTTTGCATTTCTAGTATTTTTGTTCTTTCTCTGCATTTTTGTTTTTCTATTTTGTGTCTTTTTCTTCTCTTTTTCGTGGCTACGTTTGAGTTGTTTTGTTTTGTTGTGCAGGGATATGAAGTTCAATAACGAGTATTCCTCCCCGCACTACCCCTCTTGGAACAGTGAGTCGAGTTATTGTGCCGGGTACTACACCCAATCGCACCCATACTCTTCCGAGCTGTGCTGGAACCAATTTTCGGTCGAGCAGACGCATGAGTCCAACAAGTTTAACGAGAAGCTCGACCAGATTCTTGATTTTATAGAATCCAAAGCAGCTCGTGAAAAAGAGCCCGCCTACAATAAGAAACTTGATCGGGCTCTCGCTCTTTTGCAGTCTCAGGCAGCCCATAGGAGCAATCTTGAGGGCGAGATCGCGAACTTAGTGGAGCGCATTCAAGTCATAGAGTTTTCTCTCCCGAGTCGATCATGCAAGACGAGTTTACATATATAGGTGGATCCGAGAGGATACCTTGACGAGCGATGAAAAACTCGACCTCATCCTTGCTCGTGTGGCGGCCCAAACAACTCGACTAGAGAAGATTGAGGGTGGATGTACCCGAATGGTGGACCAGCCCGATGGGATAATGGATCACATTCAATCCGTTAAGGCACGAGGCGATGAGATCTCAAGCACTAACTATTGGATTTATGAGGGCGAGACGGAAGAAGAGAAGGATGTGCTCCCAGCAGATGAGGGTGATATTCTGATGGAGGTAACTTCTGAGCCCACATTCGAGAGTCCCTCATTTGAGCCGTCATGCCCCATTGAGAAGGCCACAATGGTCCTGCTATGCTCCACAGATGTTCTCATCCTTCCATTGGTTGACAATGGAGTTTCGATGAAGAGTTCTCTAGGCCACTTTGTTACCCCACCTTGCTCCCATGCCCAGTTCTAGAAGAATATTACTACCCGAGCCATCCGTGCCTGCCTTCTGGCCTTAGTGCCAGCACTGCCACTTCTCGAGAATACAAAGGCGTGGCACGATCGTCACTTCTTTTTGGACCCAGGATGAGTTTCTTTTCAGGTTTCGTCAAGCTAATGACGTAAAACAAGCGCTTCTTGGGAGGCAACCCAAGTGATATTTATTGTTTTCTTGTTCATTTTCTCTTATGCTTTTTCTTTTATCTTTGAATAATGGGAGGTTTGGAGTTTGTGTGGTTTTCTTGACAGGTACTATTTGCGAGCTTGAGCAGGAGGAATAACGAGGGCCGAGGCTAAGCATAGGCGAGTGACTTGCACATGCATTTTATTTCTCCTCGAGGCATCTTTGGTTTGCACACACTTTTCCTTTTTTTTTTTTTTCTTTTTGAGTTGCTTCGTGTCTTTTCTTTTTAGTCTTGTGTGCTTGTGGTAGGTGCTAGTGTTGTTCGCTATATGAAAGTGCTAGGTCTTTTATTTGACTTCCTATTGTGTTTTGAAGGAGTGAGGGCATTGCCTCATTTTAAGTGTGAGGGAGTTGAATTGGGTTTTGCATTCTTATGTGGTGGATCAGTCTAGCATAGGTTTTTGTTTTGTTGAGCATGTGTTATTGGTGAATTATATGATGTGTTGATGAATGTTTGATGAAATTGGGAAGTTGTGATGACGGACGTGTTGTCATTGCCTTGGTATATGCTTGACTGCTTTGAGTGACATTTATTTACCTTGTGAGGTTTTGAGCCTTATTCTTTTCTTGTGAGATATTGGTCATATTCTTGAATAATTAGAACTTGCCTTGATTTTATTTGAAAGGAATCAATTAGAGTTTGAAATTGCGAACATGATTGAGGCATTTTGTTTGTTTAGCTCTCTTTAGCCTTGTTCTTTGATCCTAAACGTTAATTTCCCTAGTAGCCCGTTTGAGCTTTGAGACCTTTTCTTGTCAGCCGTATATGTGATGTGCTTTGTTGACTGAATTGGTGA